TGGTTTTTTTTTTTTTTAAAGACACTGAAATCACTCTTGCACTCTCAGTTAAACATTGTCTCTGTACCAGCTTTGCTAAAAGGAAGGGGCAAGATACCTTACACCACTTTTAGAAATAGGAGGCAAATCAGCTTTGCATTAAAAGGTTTCAGAGTGTCTGTGTTAGAGCAGAATGACAGAGTTAACACAACTAAGCCCCGACAACAGCTAATGTGCAGATATATCAGAAAATTGTAAGTTTTTTGTGAAGCTTACTAATGCATTTTCCAGAATGGAGCTTAAAATTCTCCATGCAGGGCAAGTAAAAATGAATTCCTCTCGCTAATGTGTATGAAATTGGCTGATATGTACTCCTTCCTTTTAGAAAGTCTCTGCTTGACTATTTCTGATGCTCTGTGAGATGAGCACTCTGTACTACAACTGCAGCCCAAAAATTTAATGCTTTTTTTTTTGTGGCTAAAACAGGCACCATTACAAAATTGGACAGTGTGTTAGATGCATGCTAATGTGATCGAAAGTTACTGCCAAAAAAATGACTTCTGTGCCACTACAATTTACTACTAAAAAATATATATATTTGTATGTACAGTTCATATTCAATATCTAATTATACTTAAAAAGACTTAATTATGTTGCACTATGATTAGTTTTCAAAAAAATTAATTGATTGATTTTTGAGCAATAAAAGCAACACTTCCTGTTTTGCTTTTGGAGCTTTAAAACCCTTTGTGTTTGTTTGGGCGCCAGTGTAGGCAATTGTCTTTTTTGAGTAAGCTTCCTGTAGTCTCTCTCTCTCTCTGGGCTATTTTCCCCCAATGAATGCTCATATCAGTGCATTCTCAACCTTTCTGATGGAACCTGAATGGCCACTGGTCTGTTATTGGCCACATAGGGACTCTAATAATCGCAATGTAATATTTCTCCATGGGGATGAAGGTGGGCTGTAATTTGAGAACTGTCAGGTGGTGGGCTTCAGTAAAATCTTCGAGGGTTGTAGTGGGACATATTCTTGTGCACCGCTTAAGACAACATTCTTCTCTGCTCACATATACAGAACTAAAGGCGAGGTCAGACTTGCAAAACCTGGCTGCCAAAGAATGTCCATTGTCTATTGTCATTAGTATATTAAGCTCTGATTACTCACAGGTTACTAGCCTATATTTTTTTGCATTAATACTGCAAAATGATTCACCTTAAAATAAATGTCGCCATTATTACAATTGTTCACTTTTAAACACAAAAATATTACAAATATAATTGCAATTATTTGAATCTAATGGTGTTTACAACAGAACTTCTCCACAATTTTTTTTTTAAAGCAAGTAGCAAGCTTCTAAAAAATATTTATTTTAGTATCTCCCTTCTGACTGTTTAAAATGAGATGAGGAAAGAGGAGAATGAGTCAGAGGAAAACACTGTGCTGCAGGTCTCATGTTGCAAACACAAAGTGATTATTGAAAGATTCAGATACATAATCTCTTTGTAAAGCCTTCCTCCATTAGGTGCATTTGACAGATACACAGTCCGCAGATCATAATCAATTGATGATGATGATTTCCAATAGCTGAAGTATAATGTGCTATTAATATTACACATACACTATACTGCTCAAAGGTTTGGGTCAGTAAGACTTTATTTTCTTGTTAAACTACATTTATTCAGCAAGGAATGCTTTAAATTGATCAAAAGGGACAGTAAAGTCATTTAAAATGTTAAATAATTTATTTGTAAAAAAATATATAAAAATAATAATCTATTTCAAATTGCTATTCTTTTTGATTTTCTATTCATCAGTGAATCCAGAAAAAAAACTTATCAAAGTTTCCACAAAAATATTAGGCAGTACTACTGTTTTCAACATTGATGATAATAAAAAATGCATATTAGAATGATTTCTGAAGGATCATGCGACACTGAAGAGTGGAGTAATGATTGCTGAAAATTCAGCTTTTCTTCACAGGAATAAATTACATTTTGAAATGGTAAAAACAGACATTTTAAATTGTAATATTCCCAAATATTACTGTTTTTACTTTATTTGTAATAAAATAAATACAGCTTTGGTGGGCATGTAGGAGACTTCTTTTAAAAATATACCAACCACAAACTTACTGACTACAAACTTTTTGCTGTTCTAGCATGGGTTGAGCCCAATTAATCAAAAGCAGATTACTAACAAATTATCTGCATCTTCTCTTGATCTACATTCAGAGATAATTACCTGCTGTAGTTGTTCTTTAGTGGCCACTGACTCATGTTAAATTAGATAAAGATATTCTTCAGGAGAGAGAACAGTAATCATTGTGATCACTGACAGTTTTATTGTGGGGTGCTTGGCTGCACTGCATTACTGGTCTCAAAGGACAGATCATGATAAAGCCAAATGTGCTCTTCAGCTATTTCATAGCAGGTATGCAAATTCTTCTTTTTATTATTTTTTCCATAAAACAATATCCATTTCAACACATTCACAGTTCAGCAACGTTTCATAAAATGTATTTTATATTTAATTTAATTTAATTTTGATTTGGTGGACCAATAACTAATAGTGAAAAGCAGCTAATAAGAGCCCTTCATACTCCTTTAAAGGAACAATCCACTATTTTTGAAAATAGGCTCATTTTCCAACTCCCCTAGAGTTAAACAGTTGAGTTTTACCGTTTTCGAATCCATTCAGCCGATCTCCGGGTCTGGCGGTAGCCGGCAGCTTAGCATAGATCATTGACTCAAAAATGACCAAAGAGTTTCTATATTTTTCCTATTTAAAACTTGACTCTTCTGTAGTTACATCAAGTACTAAGAACACGATGTAACTACAGAAGAGTCAAGTTTTAAATAGGAAAAATATAGAAACTCTTTGGTCATTTTTGAGTGAGATGCTAACGGTCTAATAAGATTCAATGGTCTATGCTAAGCTACAGCTAAAAGTGCTACTGCCAGACCCGGAGATCGGCTGAATGGATTCGAAAACGGTAAAACTCAACTGTTTAACTCTAGGGGAGTTGGAAAATGAGCCTATTTTCAAAAATAGTGGCGTGTTCTTTTAAATTCTTCAAGCACTCTAAAGCAGACTGACTGAGAGACAGCAGTATTTCCTGTTCACCAAGTTATATTTGGAGTTTAAATGATTTACTGAGTGTTAGCACCCAGAGGGAATAATTACAGAGTTTTATTTGATTGTCATTGAGAAGGGATAAGGCAGATAATGAGATAAAAAGCCAAAATTGTCCTTTAAGCTACAGTATTTATTTAATAACCAGAGGTTTACAAGATAGAGACAGCCATCAGCCATCTCTGCATAATTTGCTTCAAATATAGAAAGAAATGTTGGCCACCCTGGCACTAATTTAACTGAGAAGTTCAAATGTTAGACAATTTTTAGACAAGGTACATTTTCTGAATTTGCACAAATGGGACCATTCACTGTATGTTCTTCTGAAATGTAAAACAAAAATGATAGCATAATTGATCAGCATCTTAAAATGCATTTGGATTTTTAATTGCTTTTTTTTAATGATGAAAGAATGTTAGCAAATAGGAAATGATTCAATAATCTGAAGCCGTCAACCATTAAAACAGAAAACAATGTGCCCAGTCAAGTGCAATGAAAACTTGTCAAATAGCTTTACAAGAACATGAAAAGTTACATTTTATTTTTCTTCATCCAATGGCATGTTCATATCTGCTCCAGCAGCCTAGTCTGTGGCAAAACAGTCACATATTGTGTGTTATGTAATGTCAGTCACAACTGCCTATTACACACTGCATAGACCTCAAACCAGATAAATACAGTCTCAGTGGGAGATATGTACAGTATATAGCTTACTATAAATAAAGTTGTGGCTGCACACTATTGTACAAACTCCTGGGGAAATTGGTGAAACTTAATTTATAACAAGTGTACAGAACTGGTTTGAAAAACATACAATGTTTCACTATAAAATAATTTTAATATAAACCTTCACACATGACGAGTTGTTTGGAATAGCTCAAATCAAACCGTGCGCTGAGAAAAAGGAACTTCAACATTTCGTCATGCTATAGTACACACTGTGAATATCTTTACATATATACATACAGTATTATGGAGATTTATAATAGTTAATTTAACCCTAAATTATTTCCCTCGATTTCAAGAAAGATATTCAGCAGACTATTTTATCCAGTCACTAACTGACATATCACAGGCTGTTCGGCAAAATGTGCTAAACACACCCTCATCACAGTTAATGAGGCATAAAGCAGATATAGTGAATGCAAATAGTCCTCTCTTTGAAGGGAAAGACGTGGATTTGGCTATATGTTTCAATCAAATTGAATGGTTAGATTGAATCCAGAGGTTGTCATGTGCAGGATTTGCTACACAGTAAATGTACCATTAAGGAGACCTTTCAGATACAAATAAAGGGGCGTCTGTCCTGACAGTCCTGACCAATCAGAGCGAAGCACAGCAGTATTTGTCAAACATATGCCATGATTGTGGGATACGCCACATGCATCGTCTGGACTTGTATTCTACATTTGCTTACAGTTTGTCTTGCTGTTCACAAAAATGTTTCATATTCAATTTTTAAAAAATCAAGGTTACTTAAGGTTACTTGCCACAACAAATGCATGCATAAAATATCAAACAACCACAGTTTTCTAAACTATAAAGATAAATAAAATAAATAAATAATTGTATTAGAATTTGTCAATATAACAGATTATTGGAGTATGTTTTTCAAGGAAATACTATTTTAGTCTTTCTACTTCAAAAATTAAATGTGCTACTTTGTAAACTTCAGATATGCACAAAAAAACTGACATTTAAACTAAATCTGATACAATGTTCCCTGGTCTTCCCTGAAAACATATTATTGTTAATTCTAATTCAATTTTACTAACATGTGAATAAGTATATAGGTTAGAGCCTACTTGTTCAAAACATACATTTGCTTACATCAGTTAGAAGGGAAATGCATAATAAATGGCAAGAATCCTAAGACATGGCATTCATCTCATTTGTGTCTCTTTAGTTTGTTAAATACACTTACAATTCCATGGCGAAACACAGACTGGGAGAATCCAAAACACAGTAGATTTCCCAAGCTGGACATTGAGCAGAATGTCATTGTGACAAATCTATTGGGATCAACCATTTCAAAGTTGTCTGTCACGTAAAGGAAAGCAACTGCTATAGTCCATAGGCTGCTAGGAAGGAATAGGGCCGCTTGTACCATGCCTGTTACTGTGACCCGCATCTGGCTCTTCTGCTGGGGTTGGGAAAAAGATTCACTGCTCTGTCCCATCTTTTTCAAATGTTCACGCAGATAAACAAAGGTTTTGCCCCAAGAGAATAATAACGTGAACAGCGGACAGGTGCAATATAGCAAATATGTCAAATTAGCCACGTGAAATAAATACAGGTCTGACTCTACGCTTTCTGCTGGTGATGTTTTATTCAGTTCAAGTGAGGTGAAATTGTTTGGAACAGGCCCAAGCAAAAAATACATTACTGCTCCCATAGACAAAGAAATTAAAAGCACTATTTGATTCAGAACGAAGCCGACATATAATATGGCGTTAATATTCCTCTTAATCCAGATAAAAATGGGATGTTGTTGAGGAACAATTGAAATGTAGTAGAAAATGCTGATCCAGGCATTGCATGAGAAGTTGGCACAGAAAAACTGATAAATCAAAGCTATGGTTAGCGTTTGAAGCCAGAAAGGTGAATCGAAAAGAAGCATAATAATGGTCAGCGCAGTCATCAGTTGTTGAAATGTTGAATTGAATAACACAACAATTAACAAGAAGCGCAGTGGATTGCGAAGCGTCACTCCAGCGACTGGTCTCATTAGGCAACAAAAGAAGATGATGTTGAAAAAGGTTGCTGTGAGGCAAAGCGGACTGGAGAGCAAAGCATATATCCATGGCTCCATCTTCACTGTCGCCTCTAATCAGTTGTGTCTATGCTGACAGTCCTTCAAATGTCCTGCTCTTCCTGATACACCCAGGCTTTTATTACAACCAATAAATGATATAAGGTCAAAGTAAAATAGGTTGGTAAATTAAATGGGCTTGACGGCCAACCATAAACAAATGGCACACATTCTTACATGGATTAAAACGGAACTATCCACATGCTCGTATTCAAGTGTTACGTAATCAGTGCAACTGCAAACATTATTTGAACAATATTCTCAAACAATACTTACAAACAATAGTGTTTCATTTATAAAGTACTGTATACTGTAAACTTAAAGAGTTTTATATTTATAATCTCTTAAGACTCCATTCTTAAATGAATAGTTCACACTAAAATAGAAATTTGATGAAAATGTACTCACCCTCAGACCATCCAAGATGTAGATGAGTTTGTTTCTTCATCAGAACATATTTGGAAAAATTTGGTATTACATCACTTGCTCAACCAGTGGATCCTGAATGGGTCCCTACAGTCCAAACAACTGATAAAACCATGACAATAATCTACAAGTAATCTGCCTTTTGGACAACAATAAAACATAGACTTTAGATTGAAAAAGGAACCCAAGCCATATACTACAGATATGAGTACATTATCATTCTGGTGGGCTCTGGACAAAAAATAACCACCCAAAACACTCTAGCAACTGCATAGCAAAATCCTGGAAGCCAAGCCACCCACAACACCGCATAGTGGTGAGTTTTGCACAAGTAAGCACTTTTATTTATTTATTTATTTCAGAAAATTTAAAACTTTGGAAATGACCGTGTTCATCACTGTAAAACCTTAAGACAGTGTTCATCATTGTTACTCATTGTTCAGTTTTGCATATGCATGATGCAGCTGGTCTCCATCAAAATGCTTAATTAACCATTAACCAAGATTATGCAAACATTTATGTCATTTGATGCTGCATATTATGTTTTAAGTGTCATCTACATACAGTATGTAAAAGATAATTCTTTGGTAGCGCTTTATTTTACAGTCCTGTTCCGCATGTACATAATATGTACTACTTATAATAATTACAATAACTGGGTAATAACTAACCCTGAACCTAGCCCTAAACCTAACATTAACCCTTGTAGTTACATTACATTACCCAGCACTTTCATAGGTTAGTACACTGTAAGTGCACGTATTGTAAAATAAAGTGCAACCAAATCTTTTGTTCAGAGTCAATACTGATTTTGTATTACAGGCCAAAATTAAAGCACTACCTGCTACAGTTACGACCTACTCAGAATTGTCTGCGAAGATTCTCAGCTATCCAGATCATTGAAGGATGTCTAGTGTTATTCTTGTCATTTAGATGCTGTGAACTGATGGTGGAGATTCAGTGGCATTTACGGGGACGACAAAGACACCTGATATTATCATCCGTCTCGGGTGATCTGATCTCTGATCTCGAAGATGATTGGATTTCAAAGGGAATGGTCTCTGATTTCTAGTGGAATGCTCAATGTATTTTAGTCAAACTTCACATGCACTTCTGTGTCACTGCATGTTAATGTTGGGCCTCCAGAAACAGATGATAATAGCAGATGTAAAGGGGCTCAGATTGTCTCAGGGATAGGAGGACGGCCTACGACACCAGTTTCAAGCCAATTCACATCTGTGTTTGTGATTCACACCGTTAGTGTAACACAGCAAGGTTAAACACCAGAAAATGTCCTTCATCAGTTCACAACGTGTGTCAAAATAGACACATATCCAGGTAACTAGAACAACTCAATCTCAGGTTAATCTAAACTCACACTACTGTTCAAAAGTTTGTCGTCGGTAAGATAAAAAAAAAAGATTTGAAAGAAGTCTCCTATGCTCACCAAGGCTGCATTTATTTGATCAAAAATACAGCAAAAACAGTAATTTTTTAAAATATGATTACAATTTAGAATAACTGTTTTAATATATTTTTAAATGTCATTTATTTCTGTGTTTTTCTGCTCAAGATACATTTCTTATTACTATCAGTGCTGAAAACAGTCGTGCTGCTTAGTATGTTTGTGGAAACTGTGATACTTTTTTTAGGATTCGTTGATAAATAAGGGATTAAAAAACAGCACTTATTTGAAATAAAAAATATTAACATTATAACTGTTTACTGTCAATTTTGATTAACTTAATGCATCCTTATGGAAGAAAAGCATTAATTGAAAAAAAATAAAAATTTACTGACCTCTTAGAATTCGTTCATTATGAATATGGCAGATATTTCACATCGTAACACAGACAGGTGATGTTGCATTAGAAAGCATCATGTTCAACTCTACAATATTTCTGCAAATGTTTTCAATCAAGTCACTATACTGTCTGAGTTTGGTCTCTGTTAGCAGCTTCATAATGAAACTAAAATAATTTCCTAAGGGCAATTTAAAATTGCCCTGCATGTTTACACATGGAACATTTTTATTCTTAGCTATGTGGCAGAGTAACATAAAATTATAAACCAAGTTTGGACAGGCTACTGTCCTCGACCTGAAGCATTATACTATTTAAATAGTAATAATACTATTTAAATAAATTTATACCAGGACTTTCTCTCATAATGTTCCCACTGTTTGTTTCTGGCAACCTCAAAAATTTCACAGGCTTAAAATATGTGTGTTTACTTTGATTTGTTTTGTTAACAGTATGATTAACACTTCAGAATCTGCATCTGCATTCATGCACTAAGGATAATGCCCTCAATTTCAGTTTCTATCCAGAGGGCATATTATTGAATTAATACAAACACCTCCTAACACACCACTCATATCCCATAAATAACCTAATGCTGATTAATCCAACACTTGGGGCAAGCACTGTGAGAACTACAAGCTACTACTTACACAGATCAGGAGATTCCACTGTTCCCAAAGCGAGGAAATCTCCAACTAACCAGCCTTACTGGATAGAAAGGGCCTCACGACACATTTGCTGAAGGAGACTCGAGAGGAACTGATAGCTGAACTGAAAGCTGCAGAATTGTCCATCAGATGTAGTACTCTTGCATGCTGTCTCTCGTGGAGTTGTGAAGGTGAAACTCTGCCCTGTAAGCAGCTTCAAGGCTACGTTGGTGTTCCTTTTCTTGGAGTCTTGCAGTTCTTTGAGCTTGTCGATGTTGGTAAAGGAAACGAGTCATCACTGCCAGCACACAGAGGGTACTGAAGACCGCAGCTGTCACCACACCTGCGAATCAGAATCGGACACTCAACTTATAAAGTGCTTTGAATTGGAAATAGGGCCGTTCACACAGAATGCGTTCTTGCATTTATAAAAAGCACAATGGAAAAAAACTAAATTTGTCAAGGCATGTTTTAAGGCATGTTTGAACTCTTATTGAGATGCAGGGGAAAAAAATCTGATTCAAGTTTGCAGGTTTGCATGGACAAAAATTTAGAAAGTGATTAAAAGGGTTGCATCTTGTGTGAATGTCCCCTTACATTCCATGTTCAATACAAGTTGAGCTAGACAGAAAAAATTAAAATTAAAAATAAAATAATAAAATAAAATAGTGAATGCAACACTCACACAGTCTCACACATTCTACAAACTCTCTTTCTACTTTAATGGAAAGTTTATGCTGCCAACAAATAACTAACAGTGAACAATCCCTTGTGACAGTTCCAATGAAGATTTTATTACCACAAGTTACTGCGCACAACAAATTACCAATACAAAGTCATTACCCATTTCTGAAATAAAGAGAGCAAAAAGGAAAGATGAACATAAACAATATGTGTGATAGTGAAAGCTCATTTCATACTTCACTGACTGTTACAAATGAAACAATGAAGCAGACTGAGATGGGTAAAACAAACCTCCGATTACAGCTGAATCAGGCTGGCTGTTGTCTTCGCGATGCTCGTTATCTTTTCCCACCTCCTCTCCATGATCTACAGAAAGGTGGCACATGCATCACACAGAAATACAACATAGTTTACATTGTAAAGAGATATGTGGGCAAGATGCAGTTGTTTTACATTTTAAGAGTCCAACACTCTTGTTTTTCATTATGCCGATTATACTTCCTTTTCATTGTATTATTTCTTCTTTTTAAAATATCTGTAACATTCAATGGTGAAAAGTTATTTTTATGTCTACATCTATTAATTTCAGTTACATAGTAGATTAGTGCTATGGTTGCTTGGCAACTCTTTGTAAAAAAAAATTTTTTAATTCTGCACAGATCGCATCTCCCTCACAAAGAATATCTTGCATCAGTGATGTCCTGTGCATTTTATGTTATTATTATTATTATTATTAGTAGTAGTAGTAGTAGTAGTGGTATAAACAAATTAGCAGAAAATTAGCATAAATGCTCAGTACATTTTTTAAGAAATAGTTGAAAAGATAAATAATGGCACACATAAAATAAAATAAATACAAACTATTCTGGTTCTAACATCACATTCGTATATGAATATATGAAATGAGACTTGGACCATGCTCATTGCAACTATTTCTTAAGTGTTCGGTTTATAAATTGCATCTATTTTTCTCATAACGAACCCAGCCACAGGATGTCTTTATTATGCCTACAATAACTATAAAGCCACATGAGCTCTTCAAAACACAAAAAGCACACCAGGTGAGTGCAATACATGTGTCATTTCATTAAAGCAGACCCGTGGCCCACTGTTAACACAATTACTATGTTGATTTTTTTAATTCTGCACAGATCGCATCTCCCTCACAAAGAATATCTTGCATCAGTGATGTCCTGTGCATTTTATGTTATTATTATTATTATTATTAGTAGTAGTAGTAGTGGTATAAACAAATTAGCAGAAAATTAGCATAAATGCTCAGTACATTTTTTAAGAAATAGTTGAAAAGATAAATAATGGCACACATAAAATAAAATAAATACAAACTATTCTGGTTCTAACATCACATTCGTATATGAATATATGAAATGAAACTTGGACCATGCTCATTGCAACTATTTCTTAAGTGTTCGGTTTATAAATTGCATCTATTTTTCTCATAACTAACCCAGCCACAGGATGTCTTTATTATGCCTACAATAACTATAAAGCCACATGAGCTCTTCAAAACACAAAAAGCACACCAGGTGAGTGCAATACATGTGTCATTTCATTAAAGCAGACCCGTGGCCCACTGTTAACACAATTACTATGTTGAAATTATGAGGCAACTGGGATATGTTTCCTACCTAACACATATTGTGATGCCTATTCCTTTTAAATTGTTATTTAAATTATGGATATGATATGTCTGACAACATTCAATACCAAAAATATTCCTGAAATTGTACAGCAGTTAAATGCTATGCAAAAGCTTTCAATTCTCAGTTTAATTACTTTTGTATTAATTTCCAAGAACTTACCTAAACGAGATACAGAGGTTGAAAGGTCAGCTAATGCTCCGCAATTTGATTCCAGTAAATGTCCTCGTATGCTGACTAGAGAGCTCCATCGGTTCAATAATGCTGCCTTCAGTGGAGCAACGTGGTTGTACTGGACAGATGAGAAGCAGCCAATGAAGCCTTTGGACCCAGCATGAGCTACCTCTTCATCCAATACATCACTTCCTGTTTGGAAAAAGAAAATAATAAAAGCATATCACTCTTTTCAAATCCCTGAATATTTCAGACACAGGCACAGTCCTGCTCATTCACCGTTAATACATGCTTCGTGACTGCTAGACACTTTGAGCGAGTGAAGAAAGATAAAAGGTTTCAAACAGTCAGCCTTCATTGTTGAATCACCCTTGTCTAATGTCAGGAAAGGGGAAATTTCAGACTCATCAAGCATCATGACAAGTTCTGAAAAGTAATGGCGCTATGTAGTGGGAGAAGTTCACATGAGGAAGGAGCAGACATTATTATGAATGCAGGCATTTTTAATCCACATTACAGATAATGTGAAAAATGCCTTCTTTGCCTTTTGTCTACCCACCAAAGGATTAAATTAGTGTCTTTTTAAATAGGATCAATTAGTTTCATTACCTGTGACTTTTCCCAAGGTCAGTGACTTCATAGAGTTAAACGCGGCATCATATGAAAGGGTGTACTTCTTATTTTCATGGTCAACCTAAGAAAAATCAAGAGCAATTGAATGAATACAGGAGAAATCACCCAGAATGTGATGAAATTTCTATTTATTCAAGAACTGCATTAAAGCTGAATCAAAAGGCACAAACTATTATAAACAGACTCTATTTCAGAACTATCAGTACATATTTGTACATTGCCAGTAATGTAATGTCTTTTGTGTTGTTACATGTGTTAACCATAGCATGAGACATTTATGCTTTGAAAAATAACACCTGAACAAAGGCGTCCTTTCCCTCCCGCTGGATGTGAACTCTATGCAGCCGTCCATCTGCCAGGTTGCTCAAGATGGGGCTGAACACATCCGGTCTCTTCTCCTTATGCAGTTGATACCAGATCTGTAAACTCCCTGAGAGAAACAGATCAATGCATTAGTACATTTGGCAAATGTTACTTATAGCTCTAGTCAGGGATGAATGATGTTGTTATGAGCATGTTGTAAATCATTGTAAAATCCATTTTATTATCCATTTGGTACTTAGATTAGTCAAGCAAAGATTAAAACCATGTAACTCCAGTCATGGTGAATTGAGTGCATGTTCCAATATAATTGTGTCATCCTGTAGCCATCTTACAGAGCAGATGAGCTCACGGCTCCAGCTCCCAAGTAGAGTCTTGCATAAGTCTATGAGACAACGTGTTTATATATAGACTATGTTGGACCTTAGCAGCTGTTCTAAAAAATGTATAAATATTAATTCCCTGGCAGCCTCTAGCCTTTACTCTGTCTGTCAAAACACACTTATTTGTCCCTCCAACACAAATATAGTGCAGATTAAGGGTCAAGGTGCTGGTCGTGCTGAAATTCCCTCACAGCTATATTTGAGGCATCTCTTGACTTTCGTTGTGCGCCAAGGATTACTGCACTTAACACTTTTTTGTCAATATTTCTAAAAAGCATTGTGTGATTGGATTTAGCTCAACAAGAATGTGGGTGGTACTATTATGTAGGAATGAGTGTTGCACAATAAAAATCCATATTCTGTTAAGCTGGGTGAAGGCATGACTGATCTTAAAAGCACAGCTCTTTCAGGATTTTCTCAGCCTTGGGTTCCAAACATGCAATTTTCCACGGAACACAAACCTTAGCACAGTGCAAAGCTCATGCTGCTAGTTTTGGTGCAATAAAAATTAATGTTCACCATGACAAAAATGACAAAAAGTATCAGCAGTCCATTTGATTTCTTTACTATATTCTAAATCGTCTTACATTTTCTGTGAGGAAATTCTGTAAATTTATATACGTTTCATGTTTTTGTTCTGTATATTCATATATGAAGCATCAAGGTGTCATTAACGCCAATGATGCCATTTGTAAATGGTTCTCATAAACAGTCATGTTGTGTCACATTTTAATATTAGAACTTCCAAATCTCAAAAATAAGACTTAATATCTAGAGCTTAATTTTTGTGCCTGTGCTTGACACAAAACTATCATCTGACTTGAAAAGACTTGGCATATGAAATGGCTTTTTATATAATAGAACTATTTTGATTATAGTTCAGTCTCTTTATTTTTACATTTTCAGTTTTTTGTTTAAATTTAGTTTAAATGTTTAGTTCAGTTGCCCATTTTTATTAGTTTTTAATATTTCTATGTATCTATTTTTATTTCAATATTAGTACTTAAACTTATTTTATTTCAGACAACATTTCTAATTTTTTAAGTTTTTTTATCTGATATTTGCATTTTAATTTATTTCAGCTTTATTTTAATTAACAAAAACGATTTTTATAGTTTTAGTATTAGTTAACAATAACAACACTATATATGTATGGTGTTTTTTGTCCGTTTTGGGGGTTGATAGCTTTCAAGATGAGCTTGAAACATGCTGCCCAAACAACTCTTTTGTTGCAACAACTTTGTGGTTGATGGAAGAAGTAATGTCATATGGGTTTGGAATGACATGAGAATGAATGAATGATGACAGAATTTTCATTTTTAAGTGAACTATGCTTTTAAGAGTTTTAATGTGTACCTAAAGAACAGGATGAAATTAACAGCTTTGATTATGTGACAATGTCTGATCTAGTTAGGCTCTTAATGTTTTGCTAGTTAATTGTGATTTACTACGATTCTGACACCTTCTAGTGATCTACAAGACTGTAAAACTGACAGTTTAAGAACAAATGAGCAGGATTAATCGATGGCCTATAGTGGACTAAATCTAATTAGAGAAGAACACAATCAGAGAACTATAACTTTTTATGTTTCTTTAAATTTAATCTTGCAGTACAGTGGATAATTCTGGATAATAGGGGATGGGAGTAATTAATTTAGGACTGCAATATCCCTATTATAGATATAGACATATAAAGTATTCATAAACTAACTCATCCAGCATTGAGAATGATATACGTTTGCACAGCTGTCTCACCGTTCCGTGCTAAAATGATGGCCACATACTGCTGGCTGAGTGTGTTGACTGTGAGCAGCATGGCAGGACTCTGTGTAGTCTGGAAACTCAGTGCCATGTTGTCTCTGGTCTTGCTGTACTGAGAAGGGACAGACAGCACTGTGACCGACCTGTTCTGTATGACAGAGAATGGCTCCTGAAAAATGTAGGTGACCGACGCTCCTCTTTCAAAGGACATGGACATCTCTGTGGACATAAAAAGACCAGATGGATATTGTCAGTATACCTGATTTCCTACGTGTTGTTTAAGCACTTTGAACGGGGTGTGTGTGACTGCTGATAATGCATACATTTGTATCAATAGATTCTACAAGCAACGCCCATGCATAATTAATAAAAACAATAAAACATTTTTTTACAATCTCTTCAACCAGTTTCTCAATTCTTAGGTCACGTTTTCAAAACTCTTCACACAGTCCCAGCTATGCGGGCTTTGTGGGCAAAACTATGGAACATTTTTCATTGCTTTGGCACAAAATACATTTAATGACTACTTCTCTCAGAGTACGTGGATTCTTTTCTTACTTAGAAACAACCACCACCAAAAGTCTATGTATCTACAGGCCAATTTGCACATTTAAATGTTATTTAAAAGTTCAAAACTTTAAATAATACACAACCGAATAAGACAGCAATTTGCTACATTTTTACAGTAATACCTCAATGAAATATATTCTAAATCTAACTAAAAATGATATAGCTGAACACCTACACAGGTGTTTATCTTTCAATGTCATTGCCGTCTATACAAAAGGGGACAAACTTTGGAACAATTTCTACTGTAATGCAAACATGGACCTTGTAAGATATACTGAAGTGAATTCTGAATAGTAGAGAGCTGTCATTCTTGTATTGTAAAGATATTTTACAAAAGAAAACATTATATAATGCTATCTGTTGATAATGTTTTTAGGGCATTGTTTTATGAGTGACAGCGTGTTTGCTGGGTGACAACCTTTGCTGGTGTTATGGAAGAATGACTTGATTAGAGACATGTATGAAGTGTTTTGGAAGTTTTAGTGCATTTTGAATGCTGTGCCAAGCTGAAAGTTGATTAGGAGAACTGTGTGCAGAGTTTTGAAAAACTGACTTAAGTATTCAGAAATGTGTCATTGTGCTTGTAAAAAACTGAAATAATTACAAAAAGAAAATCTGTGAAGACTAGAAGACAAACTCTGAATGTTGGCTTAACAAATCATTGTGTGAAAGTTAAAAGTTTTAGTTTTGTTTGAAGTTAGAAGTTTTATCCTGTAAAGGTCCCCTGAAATGCTTAGAAACACGCAGTGTTACTCTATGTGTTGACGTCATTTTAACTGAAACAGGAAGACAGGGCGGGACATATCAAGCAGCCCCACCCCTTTTTAAAATAGCCAATAGTGTTCGTTTATATCACAGCTTGGGCTAGAGCCGTTCAGAGCCATTGAGCTTCGTAAAGCCGCATTTGACAGGGTATGCCAGCCACAGGCTCATCCATATTGCTATAAAATATAGCATTCTGTGTAGAATTCAAATAGCTCCGATACATTTCATGATCTGCGCTGACTCGCGCATGTAATCCGCTCCGTGCTATCGTGTCTCTGAACCGGAGCAGAGTGTGTGTGCAGTGTGGTGGTTAGCGTGACACAGCGCAAAACCAGACTTCTTTTTTTCCTCAATGGAAAGCATATTTACACTGTTCGAATCGTCCACTGTCCCCTATATAGTGCACTACGTGCTATTCACTGTACAGAAAATACTAATTCTGTGGACAAGTGACCGATTTCAGCCGCGGCTTCAGCGTCTATTTTATAGTGGAGAGGGCGGGCACTTCAGATTCTAGAGAGCATTTGATTGGACAGAAAGTTTGATGAGAAGCTGAAGTACGATGTGACGTCAAAAAAAATCGTTGAGCTGTTTTGGCGGAAGTGACGAACTGCAAGCTTTGAATGCTTATATCTTCTAAATGCGAATTTTGTCACTGTTTTGGAGCACACTGCCTTATAGATAACCTTAAGACTAACATATTGATACTTAACTTTAATTTTGATTTCATGGGGACTTTAAGTTTGAAGGCTGGAAAGCACTGAAGTCAACAAGAATCACCATTTGCAACACATTTTTTTCCAGAATGTGACACAATTTCAAGTGAAACAGGAGAAACACAGACATACAGACAGACAGACAACGAACATACAGAGAATATTACAAATTTAGATATTAAACATTCCCAGTATCATAATACGTCAATGACTATTACTATCAGAACAAATACTTTGGCATTTATAACTACATTTTCTTCTCTGTCCGTATTTGAATAATGTGCATCATCACAATGGAATACCCTATTAGATACAGACTATCAGACAGACAGACTGAGGCAAGAGAACAGAACAGTCAGACTTTCTCATCTCAACCTTTGATCAGCACAGCTCATTAGATCAAACTAAAGAAGGGCAGCTTTACGCACATCTGACTTTTTGATGTCTTCATGAATACAAATGTGATTTTCCCACTCTTGTTTACAGACATTATATAACACTATATTTCTGGAAAAAAAAAATCTAAGGTATGTTTTAAGTATGTCTGCCAGTATGGCATAACTTTCATTAACAAGATGCTAGAACATTCCACCCACACAAGGAGAGTGACAAATTCAAACATAGCAAGGTTAAGATAAGTCATTAATACTTTGTTGTTCTATCATAATGGCAGTGCAGCTTTTGTAAACTGAAGATACTTATGTAAAAAGTAGCTTTGTTTCAGATTCTGTACATCAAGATGTTCAAAAATCCCACTCAACACATACGCCTCCGAGACTTCTGTGCCTTCTGTGCTCATACAGGCAACATCAAGGCTCTCCAATCCAGCATCAGAGAGCCTTTGATAGAGCAGAGTTATTCAAAGACTGGCAGCGCTTGCCCACTGACATATGGCTAAATTAATTTTTACAGTACATTATGCAAAGATATAGAAGTCATGTTACATATTACATGGCAGTTTCATCATGTCTGAGACAAAGTAATTAATCTAGTCAAAGTAAAATATGGATTCTCTCAAATCAAATATCTTATTAGTTATTACGAATAGACTTTTTAAGTGCTTTTTTTATTCCTATTATTCATTTTCTATGTATTACTTGATTGAACAGTTATTAAAGGTTTAATTTACTGACATCACTAGTTAAATTTAAAATATTACCTTCTGTGCAAGAGGGTCCTCCGTAAGCGGAGTTAGTACAGTCGCACATGTAACCGCTGTTTTTCTCAATGCATTTCCCCCGATTGTGGCAGAGCCCAGCTGAGCTGCTACAGTGACCCGCACACCCTGAACTCACTCCTGGTGTCACTTTGGCCCGTTCCTCCAAGTCAAAATTCACTCCATTCATGTTAAATGCTCGAATGCATCCAAGAAAGCCTCTTTGTCTTGTGGCTGTTCCCCCTAAGAGATGAGAAGGTAAATTATGGAGAGAAAAAAAAAAGTAATCAGGAATACTTTTCAGAGGCAAATGCGTGAAAAGATAATATAAAAAACTACTATTGGACTGAATAAAGAGTAACAAACAAATATAACTCCTCTCTCTGCAGTGCACTTTCAAAAGGTTTATTTTACCAACAAACAGCTGGCTTCCAAGCTGAAGGCGGAGGTGTCCATCAGGTGGGGTTTCTATGATCCGCAGGGGCAGCTGGTCGACCTGCAGGCATGGTTCTTTCACATTGCGCTCGGCTCGAACCCAATGCCACTGCCTGTCGTTCAGTGGCACAGGAGATTTGACGGTCAGGACTACTGGCCCGTCGCCCACATTAAAGGAGAAAGTCACAGCTGAGGGAGCTGGGTGAACAGGAACATGAGGAAAACAGTCTGAACAATAATGGATGGATAAGTATTATAATTTGAAAGTTTAATCTTTTTCTTCTTCTTTTTTAACTTTATATGTTATATTGTTCAATTAGATTTCTAATGGAAACCTAAATCTGACATTGCCACATTCTTATAGATGTGCTGGGACTCACAGCTCAGCTCAACCCTGATAAAGTCTTGAATGCCCATGTTTTCCAGAAAGACCCCGGAGGGGGAAGCAGTCTTGAAGTAGAAGGAGACATCGAGGGAAAGCTCCACCTGGAGAGCCGGGAACTGCAGATATGAAGCCGCTTGATAAAAAGATACAGCATTCCACAGGAACTCTAACAGAGAGGAAGAAAGATAAATGTCATATAGTTGACAGCTTACATATTCCTTTTATACACTGAAATATCTGCTATCTGTTCGCTTGTTTTATTTTTTCTCTCGCTCCTTCTCTCTTAAGTCTCTTTCAAACATCCATCCTTGTTATGTATGACAACAGCAGAAGAGATCAGTTCACATACTGTCATCAGAGCACTGCAGGGGTCCCACGACATACATGGCTTCAGAGCCCAGTCTGTAAGTATCTCCAACCACAATCTCCCGTACCGGTAACTGCTCCTTATATGAGAGGATGCCAGTATCATTCTCCCTGTAAACAAACGCGCATATTCAAAACAGTCCTCTAACAATAGATGTATAAGGCAACAAGATATAGCATTTGAACAAAAATGGATATATTAGATACACTACCATTCAAAAGTTTGGGGTCAGTAAGATTTTATTTTGTATTTGTTGAAAGAAATTACTACTTTTATTTAGCAAGGATGTATTAAATTAATTAAACATGTCAGTAAAGGCAAAAAAATATATATTTCAAATATTGGAAAACTTTTGAAACTTCTATTCAACATTGATAATAACAAGAAATGCTTCTTGATCACCAAATCAGCATTTCTGATGGATCATGTGACACTGAAGACTGGAGTCATAACTGCAGAAAATACAGCTTTGCATCACAGGAATAAATTATATTTGAAAATATATTAAAACCTAACATAGATATTTTAAATTGTAATAATATTTACTGTTATTTTAATAAAATAAATGCAGTTTGGTAACTTTTCAGCTTTTTACTTTTTTAATAATTTTTTTTTTTTTATTTTAAAAACAAAAATATTCCTGACCCCAAACATTTATTTAAACAATATATATAATAAAATTACCATTTTAAATACGTATCATATCTTGTATATTATGAATATACTGGTAATAATTTAGTGACCCTACAATAAGTCTTACTCATTGATTAGGTATAAATTATGCATAAAACTAGTCAAGGTTATATAAGTATAGGTTATATCAAGGTTATATAGTATATATAGGTGTTTACTGCATTTCATCTGGTTTTGAGCCTTGTCAGCACACATAATAATGCAACTTGTGTGCTATTATCTGTGAATAAGACCCAGTGTTAGTAAAAGTAAGGTTCATCTCAGTAATCTCACAGACATAATGAGTTGCATTTGCCTTGTTACCATGACACTCTGTCTGCATCACAGTTGCAGAAGTAGTTCATGTCGGCACAGTTCTCTTCCAGACCGCAGGAGCACTGCTGCACCCCCGGCTGGAATCCACCCCAGTAGGTCCTCTTCTCTCCTCTGCGGTCCACCCACCAGGACAAAGGGGTCCCGTCTGCAACAACACCAATTCAATCTAAAGCACATCTTAAGCTTATCTTCATCAAGACCTGTACAAGTCAGTCCTCTTCAATACATACCAAAACAAAAAATAACAGAGTTTTACACCCATTGTCGGTAACAGACAAATATATAAAAAAAAAAACAAGAACAAAACCATTTTTAGAGTGTTAAATAATATGGGGTATAGAGTAATAAATTCATATGCAATTGTCTAATAGTATGTTTATATAAAATCCACACACTGACATTATAGAGCTTTTTAATTCACTGTTAAGCTGAAAAAAGTGTAGAAACTAAGAAATTGCTAGTTCATTTCACAATTAAATTACAAAGAAGTAATGCACTGAATTAAACATGAAATTTTTATCTAGAAAAACGTACTCGGTTACTAATGTAACCTCGGTTCCCTGAGATACGGGAACGAGTACTGTGTCTTGCTAGACGCATATGGGAAAAAAGCCTTTTTTCTCCTGAACTGAAGCCTTTTCATTCACGCAGTAAAACTGCACGGCCATTGGTTCGTGCAGTGTATTAAAAACGAACCAATCGCTAGGCAGCGGAGCTGCATGAGCCTATGGCGACGAAGCCCGCCAAAGCTAGCCAAAGCCCGCCAGAATGGGCGGGGCATCCAGCTATATAAGCAGGCGTTCGCCACAGGATTCTCAGGTTACTTCGACTGAAGCGACGACTTAGTCGTGCAGCTACATAACACGGCTAGCAACGCAGTACTCGTTCCCGTATCTCAGGGAATCGAGGTTATGTTAGTAACCGAGTACGTTCCCTTTCGACACTACACTCGTTCTGCATCTAGCTAGACGCATATGGGAACACAGTTCAATCACGCCATGCTAATGTAGTGGAACGACTAAAAGTATAAAACTTCCATAAGCAACCAATGCCCATAGAGAAGTTAACAACAACCCAAGGCTAAGATGGGCTGAGCTTCCCGAGGTCACACCCGGCCTGATTAATCGTTCCAGAGTACTCCTGTAACTTCGACACCCAGGGGTGAAACAATGCCAGAGAACTTGAGCGTGAAAGCGGAAAGGACCCTGGCCTGCAAGCCTGGAGCGCTTAGGCAGTAAATGTCGCATTGCCTGGGATGATTTCTGTGCCTCCGTGAAGCGCTCAGCGAATCCTTCGACCGCCGGGCCGAAAAGACCTTTGGGAGAGACTGGAGCATCGAGGAAGGGGATCTTATCCTTGATCTCTGTCAGCGTCAGCCACAAATGGCGCTCGAGCACCACAAGGCTGGCCATCGATCGCCCGATCGCCTGGGCGGTGGTCTTGGTGGTGTGCAGAGCCAGGTCGGTTGCACTCCTCAGATCCCTGAAGGTCGCGGGGTCCAGGCCAGACTCATCGGAGGATGCGAGGATCTTGGCCTGGAAGACCTGGAGGACTACCATTGAATGAAGCGCCGAAGTCACCTGTCCAGCTGAAGTGTAGGTGCGTCCCGCGAAAGCTGAAGTGGTCCTACACGGCTTGGATGGGTGAGCGGCCTTTGCTCTCCAGCCGATGGCCATGGGCGGGCAGAGATGCGTGGCCACTGACTCATCTAGGGGAGGTGGCTTATCGTACCCTTTTTCTTCAGCGCCGTCGATGGAAGTGAGGGCAGATGAAGAAGCAGTACGGAGGAGGGTGGAGTAGGGAGCGCGCCACGATCTGGTGAGCTTGTCATGGACCTCATCCTCACTTCCCCCAATGAGATCAGGTCGCTCGCACCAGCAGAGGGACGCTGATCAGACTGGGAGAAAAGGACGGGGGAATACTCTCTCTGGGGCGAGAGCAAGGCACGCGGGATCTGGGCCGACGTGGGCTCGCTCGCAGCTGGTCGCTCAATCCCTCTGCCCCGCTGTTTTTTCCTCACAGGTCCCTGGGAGGAAGAAAACGGGAGGGTGCGAAGGGCGGAGTCACTCTCTGAAAAGAAAGCGATCCGTGAGCGGAGAGAGGTGAGACTGAAGTTCTCGCAATGGGAACAAATAGCTCTCGTGAGCGCAGCTTCCACATGGGATTTCCCCAAGCAGGAAACGCACTCCGTGTGGCTGTCATCGGCGTGCAGGGGAGACCCGCATGAACCGCAGTAACGGCGTGGCATTTGCAACAATGCCAAGCTCTTTTAGTATTGCCGGATGGCGGCAGGGGAAACGGACCGGAACTGCTGCGCTGCTATAGCAGTGGAGAAGCAGGTCAGCCGAGCTGAGAGGTCCCGATTCCAGCTGCGAAGGTGTGTCAACGGCGAGCGGCTTTGGATCAGCTTGAAGACGTAGTAATCGCTGAAGGAGAAGAAATCTGAGAATCCTGTAGGATATCAGACCGAATCAGACAATCTAAGATTTGGTCAAAACCGAGTTGAGGCACGAGGAGTCACAAAAATTCCACTGAGGCCCAAGACAACAGGATGTCATAAATCAGACCCCAGCCTCTCTGAAGCAAGCCTAAACCTAAGACCCTGTCACAGAACAGTTTTCAACATTAACACAAAAGAACACATTGACAAGTCCAAGGAGATTGTAAAATTTTGGGGCAAGTTATCAAGAATAATGGTCAAAAGAGATGACCGCATGACTATCACACGAGAGTAACTACAGTCACAAGCTCCTCGTAAATTGACTTCCCCCACTTCACGACAAGAACAGACAGACTAAAATTCCTTACAGACATTTTAATCTCTAGTCTTCATACATTCACAGAATGGCACGGAAACTGCCTTTCCATGCACCTAAATGACACTAAAAGGACTGGTGACCAGCTAATAATTGCTATGCATAACTCCATATTATGTATCTAACCCACATGTTTAACCATCATGTCTTAATCATTTATTGTGTATGTATTGTTAATAACTATTGAAGAGCTTAAGGGGTCATATTCATGCTTGGTATGTGTGAGTTTAAGAATTCATGCTTGAAACGTTTCTTCCAATCAATACTTGGTCAAATGTATCATATTCGTATTATAAGAAATCATGTCCAAAATGTATACTCTACCAGAGCGGGAAAAACGCAGATCACGTGAATGATGAGATAACAGTTGATTTATGAATGCAGACTCATCGGAGGATGCGAGGATCTTGGCCTGGAAGACCTGGAGGACTACCATTGAATGAAGCGCCGAAGTCACCTGTCCAGCTGAAGTGTAGGTGCGTCCCGCGAAAGCTGAAGTGGTCCTACACGGCTTGGATGGGTGAGCGGCCTTTGCTCTCCAGCCGATGGCCATGGGCGGGCAGAGATGCGTGGCCACTGACTCATCTAGGGGAGGTGGCTTATCGTACCCTTTTTCTTCAGCGCCGTCGATGGAAGTGAGGGCAGATGAAGAAGCAGTACGGAGGAGGGTGGAGTAGGGAGCGCGCCACGATCTGGTGAGCTTGTCATGGACCTCATCCTCACTTCCCCCAATGAGATCAGGTCGCTCGCACCAGCAGAGGGACGCTGATCAGACTGGGAGAAAAGGACGGGGGAATACTCTCTCTGGGGCGAGAGCAAGGCACGCGGGATCTGGGCCGACGTGGGCTCGCTCGCAGCTGGTCGCTCAATCCCTCTGCCCCGCTGTTTTTTCCTCACAGGTCCCTGGGAGGAAGAAAACGGGAGGGTGCGAAGGGCGGAGTCACTCTCTGAAAAGAAAGCGATCCGTGAGCGGAGAGAGGTGAGACTGAAGTTCTCGCAATGGGAACAAATAGCTCTCGTGAGCGCAGCTTCCACATGGGATTTCCCCAAGCAGGAAACGCACTCCGTGTGGCTGTCATCGGCGTGCAGGGGAGACCCGCATGAACCGCAGTAACGGCGTGGCATTTGCAACAATGCCAAGCTCTTTTAGTATTGCCGGATGGCGGCAGGGGAAACGGACCGGAACTGCTGCGCTGCTATAGCAGTGGAGAAGCAGGTCAGCCGAGCTGAGAGGTCCCGATTCCAGCTGCGAAGGTGTGTCAACGGCGAGCGGCTTTGGATCAGCTTGAAGACGTAGTAATCGCTGAAGGAGAAGAAATCTGAGAATCCTGTAGGATATCAGACCGAATCAGACAATCTAAGATTTGGTC